TGGACTTTTCGGTCGATAGGGTTTTAAACACTGAAGATGATAACATTGCGCGTGTTGAAGCTTTGAATTGGAATTCAAACAACACAAACTCTGTGTTATGCGGATGGGAATTGACATTTGGAAATCCCTAGTATACGAAAACGTCTTCGATAATTTGCATTATCATGATGCGCCATTACGTCGCAATCCAAAGCAATTGACGCTAAGACGTAAGTTCAAGAACAAGGTTACTTCGTTTTAGATTTCGGAATGTGTCAGTGGACTGACAAAAACAAGAATGCCCCGCAAAAATTGAACTTTATGGAAATAAAAATGTAATGGTCGTATACGAGCATCGTCAGGGTATTATTCTTTTAGCTCTTAAAACGCAATGAAAAACTAAATAAAAATTTTCAAGTCCAGCGGCTACAATGTGCCGATAAAAGTTTGGTCGACGCAAGGCCACATACAGCAAGAATAATCCAGAAAAAAATCTGGAACTCGGTTGTTCTGTTCAGTCTGCCATATTTTCCTGAGCCTGGACCGATTTTCCGATCGCTGTAAAAGCGCTTTGATGGGGAAAAATCTATCTAATGAAAAACAGATTCAAGAGATTGTGGAAAACTTCTTTTTTCATATAAAAACGTGCGAAATTTTACTGAAAAGGTATCGAAGAGAAGCCAGATAATTGGTAACGAGCCGTTGAAAATAATGGTGAATATATAATTGAATAAAATGTAATTGTACTTTATTTCTTGAAGAAATGGAACTAATAAACCACAATGGAAATTATTCATGACTATATCTAATGCCTAGCTAGATAGGAACCTATTAAGATATTAATTGACTGTGACAGATATGAACAGACTGAAATAGAAAGACAGACATGCTAAAATGAAATTACGACGTTGCGTCGTGCTGAAGTATTTTTTTTTCTGAAAACTGAATAAAAATGCCAATTAAGTGTTATATTTAATCCGTCCATTTTTATAAAACGCCATCTTTATATCTGCGCAATACTTCCGTTTCTTTGGCATTGTGGGAAAAGTAAACCATAGTAAATATTTTTCTTTCAAACATTCATGTATTATTTCACGATCACTGGCCCTTACATACAACCTCTGTATAGCTTAATATTACATGACATTTTTAAAAGCGAAGCAACCGGTTTCGCTCCCGCTCTTCAGGCCTCTACAGGAGATTTAACTTAGATTAAAATCACAGGAAAATGTGCAATGAAGAGGAAAGAGAAAAAAAATGAACACAAAGAGCTAGAGACAAATACAACGAGCCCTAACAAACACTCACGCTGTTTACAGAGGGAAGGTTTGCGGGACCCGATATAAATTGCCTCCTGCACCTTGAGATGAAATAGAGAGTGTGGCCTAGAAAACAGCAATAGTGAACCAGTCAGATCTAAAATTAACAGCATACCCTCTGTTATTTAAAAGGTGCTCACATATGGCGGAACCATAAATATTTGGGACAATTTCATTCAAAGATAAGGTGTGATTCCTAATCTTACTGGGAACATGTTATTTGATTCTCATGTCCAGGCGTTGAGTAGTTTTCACTATGTAGTCAGCACCTCAACTACAGTTATACTGGTGGATTTGCACCAAAACAGATTTTATTATAATATATATTAATAATAATTATTCACGATTCCTATATCTTTCTTTCAATGTAGCTGAAATAATCACGTATTTACTTACAATTCAAGCCTATATATAAAAAAAACAAGATGTCGGACATTTATTCTTAAGGCAGGGCAAACTGATTTTCCGACCAAGGCTCATTCCATTTGGTCTTAGTAAATTTTAGTAAATGTCAAAGTAGATGATTGCGAGGACAAAATGCCATCTTTTTAACCATTCAGTGGAGATGAGAAGAAGTCAGTTCGTTTCTCTTTTATTGCGACCATAAATAATTCAGGTATGAAAAATATCTGTAGGGCAATCGCTGGAAAGTAGCAGAAGTAGTGGAAGCAGTATTCCAGCGGAAGAAAAAGGGGGACAAGGATATTTCGGTATCACTTGCCGCCAGATGACCTACAGGAATTTCATCTGCTCCATTAGCTTTCTTGAGAAGGCGACGTCACTTCAATAAGAACCGAAAAAGCATACACGCGTATATCTATCTATCTATCTATCTATCTATCTATCTATCTATCTAAAAGTCATCTCTAAAAGCATATCTACTTAAAAGTAATCTGAATTCTACATATCCACTAAGTTTTTTATTCTGATTTAGGGTAAAGAAAAAGAAAAGATGATTATGTTGCGTTATGTTTCAAATTGTGGAGGGTCTGCTTTCCTTGAAAATCCGCATCTGAAATCCTGTCTTATGTTAGGAAGCAAAAGCTAATCAATGTTGTGAAATACGCAACGAATTCAGTGAAAATGCAAACCCATAGGTATTTAGTAAGCTTTGCTTAGTTTGCAAGTCTTATATAAGTTAAAGGAAGATTGTACTGCGCCGAAGCTTGCCATGAATAAAAATACTCGAAACACTTGGTTTTTACCTTGATTTAAACAACTGTCACTGTTGCCCGTATGAAAAGTTCAATTATCTCAAAAGTAATCTACAAAACATTTCCCTAATACAAGTCCCAAAAAGCTTTTCAAGTCAGAGATTCATTGAATGTGTTTGTTGTATGGACGTAGGGTGATGAGGATATCTGGGATGTATAACATTTGAAGAGATGAAGATTACAGACAAGGCGTCTGTCTGAGTGAAACTACTTTCTTGCGAACGGAATGAGGATTGTTTCCCAGTCAACTTTGACCTTCAAAAATTTAAGTGCAATATTTTAGTCATTATCATCTGTCATCTTGATTCTTATTCTTTTATTGTGTAGTGATAAGCAATGGTCAAATGAAAAATAAGTAACAGAACTGTCAAAAATATAGAACCGGCAAAGAACTTTCAAACAAGAAAAAGAAAAGAAAAGGGAAAATTAATATAAAATAAGCAAGGCAAATTAACAATAATAAGGCAAAGCAACAGTAATATGGCAAAAAAAAAAATTCATAAATTAAGAATTGGAGTCGACACACAAAAGCAAATTCGGAAAAGCGAGCGTAACGTTCTGACTTCAAGACAAGACAGATCGGTACTAAGTCAGATAAAACCGAGAACCGGCCCAATATACTGGCTAGTAAAAACTCCCAGCATGCAATTGCGTGCTTCTGCCTGTAAAATGGGGAGGGGCATGTATTTCGCAGTCATTCTCCGTGGATATTGGAACCAATATTAATTGTCCTCTCTTCTTAATCGTAGTTTTTTTTTCCTCATATTCTCTAACACTCAGTAACCTCTTGCGTCTTAGTGGCTTTATTGCCTTGCTTAGCATGAAATGATTAAAACAAAAAATAGTGCATATTTGGTTCATTAATTCTGAATTTTTACCCTATTTATGCGTTAAGCAAGTCATAGTTAATAAGAGTTGAAAAACATTGTTTTGGTATTTGTGAATGTTAAAGTGCGTGGAAAATATTCCCGCTAAAAATCGCGCCTTATTTGGCGTGGTGGAAACCGCCAGGTGGTTATTAATAGGTGATAAGAAAATATTTGTTCAATTGTATGTTGCAAAACCGAGAAATAGCAAAAGCAACAAAAGAATTTGGAAAGGGAAGTTATTATCATATGTGGGGAAACAATTTGCAGACAATAAATGTCGATATTTATACGCGACCTAATTTCATAAGAACAGACGACATAAATTGTTTTCTTTTAAGGTGATGTTTTTTCTTTTTATTTTTCGTGAAATATGATAAGTATCATAATATTATTTCTGTGCTGACGATTTTAGAATCGATTTAGTCATTACTATTATTACAAAGGTTGACTGATAAGTAAGACCTTCAATCCTATGAAAGAAATCTTAGAACAAGGAGAATTTGGAACTGGTATCAAAATGAAATAAATCACTTCAAGACTTCAAGAGTTCATTGATAAGTAAGATCTATAAATTTTATACAACAAATCTAAGACCGGATAGAATTTGAAATTCGTATCAAAATGAAATAAATTTATCTTCAAGACTGCAAGGGTTTATTGATAAGATTTCTAATCTTCTAAAACAAATCTGCGACTAAAGAAAATATTGAAACCTCTGTCAAAATGAAGTAAACTTCTCTTCAAAACTATGATCGTTGATTGACAGATCTCTAATTTTATAAAACAAAACTTATGCATCTTGTATTTAGTATCAAAATGAAGTTGGTGTTTTACTCTTTAAGATTAAAAGTTATTTTCATTAGTCATCATTTTGTATTATAGATTTTCCAAACATTCTATCCAGTTTTTTCATCCAATTCTAAAACCTTCATTTCCGTATCACAGGAACAATGTTGACCTTCCAAGGCCCTTTTCAATTATGCCAACCGAGTTGATCCTGAATTTTCGCTTATCGCGATGATGAACTGGCGTTCTCTCATGGAAGGTTTCCTGCCTTGAGCGTTTGTTGGGCCTCAAACTCAATCCAAACATCAAGTGGAACTCGTACATCGCTAAAGATGCAGGAAAAATGGCCGGTTTCCGGTACCGCTCCAGTAAGTATCTAACTCTCCATGATATCATTTATCTTTATAAGAGAAAAATGAAGTACTGTTAGCATATATGGACAGGAGCTGTCCAGACTAATATCTCCCCGTCCTTTTGGGTAATAATTTTTTTTCCATTCTACAACCACTTTTACCAAAGACTAAATGTTGCAAGCGTGTCGTAGATCTATCGCTATTTCCACGGTCAGATCAACTAAATTCTTTGGTTCCAGGAGTTCTACCCTTCACTGCTAAGTCACACGCATTGTAGCGAATCATTCCCTTCATATTCCAGTGGTGAGATGTAAGTCCCACTCGACCACCTACATTGCGGATCGGCTCCCAAGAGGATGCTTCCTCGATCACTACAATCATAAACCTGTTCAAATCCAGGGTTAACCGTTATCTCACCCGCCGTCTTCTAAAGTACCGTAGCGAGTGATCATGGGTGAGTGATACATGGGCCAGTGATCG